TTCTCGTGTGTGTGTGTGTGTGTGTGTGTGTGTGTGTGTGTGTGTGTGTGTGTGTGTGTGTGTGTGTGTGTGTGTAATAAATATATATATTATATGTATGTATGTATGTATGTATATAATCAAAAAATCAGGAAAGTTGGGGTTTTTTGGGCAACCGACTGACAACTTGCAAACCAAACATTGTTTTTAGAAAATATTATTTTATTTGAAATAGTTAAAAGGTGAATACATTTCATAAAATTGACAACATGATTTCCCTGTAGGCTCACTCCACACTGAGTTATTCATACAAAAATAACACTCAGAAAATTATAATGTGAGACATGATTAGTAGACATGATAACTAGAACATTCATAAACATACCGTATATACTCGAGTATAAGCCGTCCCGAATATAAGCCGAGGTACCTAATTTTACCACAAAAAACTGGGAAAAAGTATTGACTCGAATATAAGCCGAGGGTGGGAAATGAGGCAGCTACTGGTAGATACCAATAAAATTACATGAATATTTATTTAAAAGAAAAATAACCTAGCTCTGTAAGTGGAAAAGGGGGTACAGGGCTACATATCATGTACTACGGATCATTTAACCCATTCATATTAGCAGAGGATAATTGTAAATCTATTGTTCAGTGCATTCTATATGTAGTATATAGTACATGTACATATAGAGTGCAATACATTACAACAATACATTTACAATGATCCTCTGCTAACATGAATGATGATCCATAGTACAGGGCTACATAAGGGAATCATAAGACTAAACTAAATGTCAGTGGTAACCACCCACTGTATCATGTCGTCCTTACTGGACATAGTGGTTAAAACGGGTACATACCAGTGTTAGCAGAAGGTTGGAGATGGATTCAAAACCGTTATATTTTCCCGGTCAGCACCGTGGAATATCCGTTCCTCTCTCAATATCGAGCCCCCAGCAGCTCATACAGCCCTCTCAGGCTGCACACTGACGCTGGGGGCTCGCGTGGGTGCTAATAACGGCGCTCCCCTGGTGACGTCATAACGTCGTCACCTAGTCCAAAACAAGAAACGCCCCTTGTATGAGTCGCCAGGGAGCGTGGTAAAATAACTGCCGCTCTAGGGGATGGTATCGTCAGAGAAGGACATTAAGGGGTCGTTTCTGGTTGGTGGAGGCCAGCTCCCAGAGTGAAGGGGAAGGAGAGACAGGGGAGCGTGGAATGCAAACATATTAAACCTTAAAAATATAAGGCAATCCAAATGGTGGACCCTCTCCTAAAACGAAAAGGAGAGAATTGGGGGTCCAATAGAAGGATCTCACCGAAGAAACTTATACATATAAGTTACATTTGTAATAATCCTTCGGTCACATACGAAGATATAGATCAAACATTACATGATATATATTAAAATCCATCATCAAACTTTCATTATGTTTATTTTAATTCATAAATTGTTACAGATAATACATATTGGATCAAGATTAGCAGATTGAGATAGCATCCTAGATAGTAGGCATTTATACAGTACAGATATTACCGTCAATAGAATTCGAGACAATGACGGAATATGACAGAATATATAGGGGATAACCTAGCGGATATACATACAATGGGGGTATATCTAGGGGAGAGAGGGAACGCCTTGGTAAGGGAGAGATCATTGAAATGTAAAGACAAAAACATTTCCCACACTTGATATTAGTGGATCGCTGCGAAGTCCAACCAGTGGACCCCATCAAAGGAGAGGGTGGGAACCACTGTATGGAGTCCGCAACAGCCCACAGGCCAAAAAACTCCCAAAGAGGAATGAGCGGGTTCTATAAAATCTCTATAAAGTAATGCCTATAAATACATCCTTATAAGTTTGACCATTCAAACCCACTGGTTTTTGCCCATGGCTGCGGCACGGTCCGAACAGGGGAGTCCATCTAATTAGAGATGGAGAACACAGTTCGAAGTGCGCCACAGCCCTTAAAGCAAACCCATCCAGCGGAGGGAAATCCCTGGTCTGTGCGGGAAAGGTATGTGGTTAATATCACAGGATGAGCATAAGATGCCGCTTCCCAAGTGCACTTGGTAGCAGAAAAAGCAAAGAGTGTAAGTACATATACACACGTATGTTTTGTTTGCCACACGCCACCGTATCGACCGAACGTCAGCGGCCCAGTTCAAGGAGTGCAATCCTCTAGCCTGAAGATGGAGAACACTTCTTGTAGTGGGTCACAGCCCATAAGTTAGCGGATCCGGCGGAGAGAGATCCCTCATCTATACGAGGAACAATATATACAAAATAATGCAAACAAAAGATGGTACAAAAGAGAGAAGAGGATATCGAAATGGCAGGGGCACACCATGCCGGACTGATAATGAAAGCCCAGTATTAAAAGCCTAGACCTCCTTATTTGGAGTGTTAATCGACTAATTCGGTACCTAACAATTAGGTGATTGTTTTATTTTAGTTTGTTATTGTAACATTTATTTTGTTTTTAATTAGTTACTGCTTGGTAGAGTGCCCACATATAACATCTAATAGGGCCTTTGGTGTAAGAATTGTATCAGATGTATGTTTTATTTTATAAGAAAGGCCTAAAGCTTAAGTTTTCATTGAGTCCAGGTGATTGGGTGGCCCGTAGTCTGTATATCCACTGGGTTTCTCTTTGGAGTATGATCTTGTCCCAGTTACCGCCGCGTGTGTCCTCCCTTACATGTTCTAAACCGAAAAAGAGTAAAGTAGTTGGATCAAAGTTGTGATACAATCCCACATGTCTACTTATTGGAGTTGTCATTTTCCCGTTTGAAGATAAGTAGACATGGTCTTGTATCCGTTTAGAGAAAGGACGTATTGTTTTGCCTACATAGAAAGCATTGCATCGGCAGGTCATCAGATAAATAACTCCCTTGGTTTGGCAGTTTATATGGTCTTTGGGATACCAGGTTTGACCATTGGGAAGGTGGACCGATTTGCCCTGCTTAATATGTTTGCAAAGGTTGCAATGACCACAACAGTAAGTTCCCTTACAGGTTTGTTGGTTACTCTCGTTATCCCGATAGTGGCTACATACTAGTTGATCCCGTAATGATAGTGGGCGTCGGTAAATAATCTCTGGTTCGGCTTTAATATATTTGCATACTATCGGATCCTGTGATAAGAGGTGCCAATGCTTTCCTAGGGTTCGCTTTACTTGGTCATGTTGCTCTGAGTACCTCGTGATGAATTTGACCGTTGGCACTTGTTGATCTCTGGTTCTATTTTTGTCAGATGTATAGATTAAGCTATCACATGTTTGAATTTTGCTCGTTGATAGGCCTTTTTCAAAACCCGTCTACTGTAGCCCCTCAGTAAGAGGCGATCTCTGTTTGGACGCCTCCTCCTCAAAGAGGTAATCGACTGAGCAGATTCGTCTGAGGCGAAGATATTGACCATATGGGATGCTCCTTTTCAGCGGGGTAGGGTGTGCACTAGTGGCATGTAGAATGGTGTTTCCTGCCGTTGTATTTCTAAAAAGACCTGTAAAGATCGACCCATCGCTTTCTACTCCTACCTTCACATCCAGGAAAGGGATGACTTGTTGATGACATTCCATTGTAAATTTGAGGTTGAAACTATTTATTTGTAAGTGCTCCATGAAGGTATCCACTTCACCCCTAGAGCCCATCCATATCATGAACATGTCATCTATATATCTGAGCCATGTTAGGATGCACTCGGAGTAGCCATGGGCATCAAGGTCATGGAACAGTTCTCGCTCCCAGCCCCCCAGATACAGGTTGGCATAGGATGGGGCACAACAAGTGCCCATCGCAACCCCCTGTATCTGGAGGTAATGGGAGTTTTTGAAGGTGAAGACATTGTGTGTCAAAATAAATGATAAGAGCTCTAGTATAAAGGTGTTGTAAGCCGTGGATGAATTAGTTCTTTCATCTAAGAATTGTCCAACAATTGCAGTACCCTTTTTGTGGGGAATGCTACTGTATAGTGCCTCCACATTGATTGTCACTAGCCAGGAGTCGGGTGGAATCATAATTCCATCGATGTTTTTTAAGAGGTCAGAGGTGTCTTTAAGGTATGATGGTAAAGAGATCACATGGGGTCTGAGATGTTGATCAACCATGCGACTCGCCAGTTCAGTGAGGCTACCTACCCCTGAAATAATGGGTCTGCCCGTAGGGGCCACAAGGCTTTTGGGAGACAATAAAATGTGGGCATGCGGGGAAATTTTATATCTAAATATTCATAGGTTTGTTTATTGATTTAAGTCATTATTGAATGGCTGATAAATTATTGTTTTATATTCCGCATGAAATGACTTGACTGTTTCTGCGTTAATTCGCAAATACCATTCAGAGTTGGACAGGATTTTGACACACATTGTCTCATATTGAGTTTTGTTGAGTACAACTACATTGCCCCCTTTGTCTGACGGTTTTATGACGATATCCTCCATGGTGGATAAACTATTTAGGGCCTCTTTTAGTGGTTCAGGTAGATTCGTAATTAAAGAGTGATTGGATAAAGCCTCAATATCTTTGATGGTATTTTGGAGGAAAGCCCATATATGTGGGTTCGATTGTATAGCTGGGAATTTCATAGATTTCTTTTTGAAAATTATAGGTTGATCCAATGTTGCTATCCCAGATTGGCTAGCCTCGTCCTGTACAGCGTCGGGCGTAGTTCCCTCCTCCAGTAATTGCATAAGGTCCCTCAGAGCCCTAAAATCCTGCATGGTGTACCCCTCCCACCTCGTCTGCTCAATTCTCAGCTGGTTAGCACTGACAGTTTTCTGGTCATACATAACCTTAAATAATAAGTTTTGTGCGAACATGTGTAAATCCTTTACTATTTCAAAATGTTTGAAATTATCTGTTGGGCAAAAACTCAGGCCAAGTTGTAACACCCTGATCTGGTTTTCGTTCATGGGGTGGCCGGACAGGTTTATTATTTGCAGTTGGTTCTGGTTACAAAGGAGTCAAGGTTTCCCGTTTTCCTGTTCTCCATTGTTCCCCCTAAAAAATGGGCAGGAGTGGTTCCCAGATGACTAGCATTAGATGAGGCGTGATTGTGGTCCCTGGGGTTTCGTGCATCCTCATAACGTGTTGTATTTGGAACATTATCATTGCCTTGTGCATATGAGCGTGAGAGAGTTGATGTATTGGTCGTGGCCCTGGGTGTCAATGGAGGAGGTTCCATCCTGGGTGTAGGTAAAGAGGGTGTAGGTATGTATATATGTGTGTGTGTGTGTGTGTTTTTGTATGTATACAGTATAGAGATATATATTTATATCTATATATCTATATATATATATGCTTCCGTTCGGTCCGGTGGAAGCAGTCAAGTGTATTTCATGACCCTCGGCAGGAGTTCTCTTCTGAGCTGGTAACGCATGGAACTGCTGATACCTCCCCTACAGTCTTCATAATCTCCGTAACTTGAAATCATTTACAACTGGAGTACAACCTGCGCACTGATGTTATATTTGTTCAAGATGGAGTTTGCATTCATTTAGAGGATCTTTTTTTGTTTCTAACTTAGGGGAGAAGATGACAGAACTTTTATGCAGCTTGCAAGACAGCTGAGGCTGTAACTCCTGTGTCGGGTGCTGTAAACATCTGAGATTTGGCAGGAACAGCAAGCTTCTACTAACTTAGACACTTCCTGTGACTTAAAATAACTTATACATGAGAAGTGCAGAAATCAAACCACACTAAAAACACCCTGTTACCATGAAAAATGGAATCGTTTCTAACACGAGAGGGCAGACCAGGAGAACGTAACAAGCCTTTGTGATGACGCACAGTCAGGCTTACTAATATTTCAGTTATTTAATTTAGTGGGGTTTTTTGTTTTTTATTTTGTTTATGTTGAACCTGATAAAGGAAAGTTCATATAATAAAATGTATTTATAAAATGTGAAGGGCAGCAGCTAATGTTTTTATTTTTCACCTGCACAAAGTTTAGGGCCAATGTTGTGCATTGCTGAACTTTGCCTAAGTCCATGCAAAACATTATCTTTGACTTTCTTGACTTGTATATCCCTACAGAATGTGTCACAGTATTAGCGCTGCCTCATCCATAGTTTTTTGGGTTTTTTAAATATTATTTCCTAGATATCTGCAGTTAATGTGCTCGCAGGGAATCAACCTAAACTTGTACTGTAGAAAGGGAACAAAACAGGGTTGCGGACTTGGATGTTACAGGCAAATTCCAATCGGCTTTTTATTTCTCCTACCTCATTTTGGGCGATGCACAAACCCCTTTGGTGCCATGACACCTGCAGCATCTTTGCAGACATCCTGGACACTCAAGGGCTTGACAAAGAGGTTGTCTCATTTATCTTTATAACGTTAATGGCGTATAACGTGAATGTGTAATATAATACCAAATTTGTGCCAGATTAATCTCTTTGGCTGAGTTCGTCCAAGCTGGCAGAAGTTGGCACGATGGCACAAATTGCTCCACGGCAGTGACAAACACTGATTAGGTCCATTTGGCTTTCATACCGATTTTTTTTCTTTTCTTCCAGTTTCAAGTCACTCTCCGTTTTCACATGTATGTGTTTGATCTGAGACAGTAAGGTTTCACTCTGTGAAATGCAGATTTAGCATCATGGGAGGTTGATGTTTTAGGCTAGTTCTCTGAATTGTAAAATGTAGGACAGTAGGAGGGCACGGGAGGGGCGGGCTTGTTCATGAAGGGGAGCGACATATTCCTTTTGTAAGAATGCAATGCACTAAAACAATTCTACGAATGTAGTTAATAATGATTATTCATAACTGACATACCGTTGCTGTGTTTAGATGTAAGATTCCCAGTTCAGAATTTTTTAATGAAAATATTAAAGTCAGCTTTATTTTCTGAGCATTTTGACATTTGTAATAAATGTCTGGACAGGAATAACTTGTTCAGTGGCTACCCATTCTTTACTCAAGGTTCCTGGAGTGTACAGTCGTGGTTGATGTAGCAATGCACAGTGTCATTATCATTCAACCCCTTTTGAAGACTTTCTTTCTGGTATGGGGTACATTGTTGACAGCTGCCTTAAGCTGTTCATTTGTGAACAGTTTCTCTTTCTAATATAGACTACTCTTCCTTTGTTTCTGCCATTGTATGAAACATTTTGTTCCTTTTTTTACTTTTGCTCTTGAGTGCGCAGTCTGGCGAACAAGTCAGCTAGCACTCATGCTGGTTCTGACTTACGAAATGGTATCAGCATGAGCTGATGTGAAGTAAAGACTGGGCAGATGAAAGAGAACCTTTCCTAGTTGAATAGTTCTCACAGTGTGAGCACTACTCTGCAGCCACCCCTTACAGACATACTACTTTCCATGACATGGAAGCCTTATAACTAATGGCAGAAATGTATGTTTGGAATTTGTATTTGTTTTTTTTTCCTTTCCCAGTAGCACTGAAAAGCGATGGTAATGTGTACATTTAGTTCCATTTCTGTTGTAAAGGGCAGTGGACATATTAATAAGTGAAGTCCATATTCTTTTTGAGTGTAGTCTAACATAACAAGTTCTAACCTTGAATTCTGTTTGGCACTTTGGCTTGTGGGAGTTTGTCCCATGGGTCTGTTGGGCTGTGTTAATAGGTGTTCAACATTGTGCCTGCTTTGTGCTTGGGTGCCTTGCAGCTCCTAGGCCGTGTGCTCAGTGTTCGCCATCGACACCATTACATGAATGGCAATACTCACAGATCATTGCTCTGAGACACTTACAAGAGCATACTGTGCTCGCCACGGTGTCAGTAAGTATTAACATCTGATTCTGCCAACAGAAAAAAAGGTCTATGTAGTTGGAGCTCATTTTCAGTGTGTCACAAAGCACAAGGACGGCACAGTGGGGATTCTTGTGAGTGCATTCTCTTAACAGTGCAATGATCATGTCATTTCAGCATTTTAATTGCTGCTGTTAATCCATTCATGTACTTGCATACTGATAAAGCCCATATTGCCTAGAAAGGTCTACGCTCCAGAAAGGTCCTTGGTTAGAACTGCTGGAATTTCCTATATAATATTTTTTTAACAAATCGCTCTGGACTCCCCAAACACTGATGTCTTCACTGTTTATTTCTTCCAGCAAACATTATTCCCAACATGTTCTACTGCAATTTTGTCATTTAAAACCAGTATTAACAGCAAAAACCACTATGTAATGAATATGGACATTATCTTTAATATCGTAAAGCAGAATACAGTTGCTCCTTGGTTTAGTTAATGCATAAGAAATAATATTCTTGTATGATTACTGAAACTGTATGACTGCAGTGTTGCTTCCCTTTTTCTGTTTTATGCACATGTTACATTGGAGAAAATGTTTACATTTTTGTTAAACTAATGTGCATCACCTATTTATGTTTTTTTAAGTGAATTTTTGCATAATTTTAGTAATTCACATTTTGTGACTTATAACCTCAAACTTTTCTGATTAATAATAGTGCGAGAAGATAACCGTGACAAACTGCATACAATTACTAATTGTTGAACTGCAAAGCAGACTGGTGTCAAGTAAACATTCTCAGACATTTTGCAGTGCTATCTAACTTATGTCTACTGTGTTTCATGGAAATGCCTATTTTCCCCATTTTTCCTTAAATAAAATCAAAATTACACCTACGTTATGTGGACTACATTTCTTTAATACAAAAGCAAGTTCCTCATCACACTTACCAGCTAGCTTGCAAAAACAAATTATGCTGTCTAACTATAAGGGTTAAAAACGGGGGTGGGTTTTTAAAACTGGAGCAGTTGCCCATGGCAACCAATCGGCTTCTTTCATTTTCAAATCTTACAGGAGAACTATGGGGTCAGGGCTTTTCCCCATAGTTCTCCTAAGGGTAACGGGAGGACCCAAACTTGCGTCCTTCCATCTGGGACGGATGCTGACATTACTGTCAATCCACCCAGCTGTGGCATTGACAGCTGGCTAGAGGCAGAGCCAGCTGTGCCCACCCCCATCCCTGTCCGTTCCGCCAATCAGGGCTGGAGGATCGGACAGGGGAGGGGGGATCCCTGCAGGGAGCCGTGAGTGACAGTCATGGCTCTCTGCAGGGACAGGATGGAGAAGTGAGCGAGCGACGCTATGTATTTTCTCACTTCCCGATCTATTGAGCCGACCTGTGACCTTTTAATTGTCACAGGTCGGCTAGAACTATGAGGCTGAGTGATTTTTCACTTGCCTCATAGTTCTCATGCTGATTGGTTGCCATAGGCAACTGCTCCCGATTTTGTCTGCGCCAGTTTTTATGAATGACCCCTTGTATGGGAAATCCACACGGCCTGGTCGAGGACCCTCTGTGTAGTGTGGTCCTAACTCTAATCTATGATGGCCTCCATCTTGGAGAATATATATAGATATATATCTATATATATAGATATATTGCTATATAGATCTATATATATAGATATATATAGCAAAGGATGAATTGGGTGCAGGTACACAAGGAGGCCTTTAAGACTGGGCCAAAATGTTATAAACATTTATAGAAAACTTTTTTGTTGAGTTACGTTATTGTAAATTGTAACGTTTGAGGCAGTTTAGTTCCATGTTTGCAATCAAACTTGAGAAACTCCTCACTATATTATAGGTTTGTCATGTGTTCCCATTCACACAGCATGACGAAAAATAAATACATATATCAAATATGATTTCATTCAAATATTTCTTACCTTTTTAGTTTCTTTGGAGCAGAAGTATACATAGGCAGCATTAAAAAGATGGTAGTGTTCAGAGAGGGGACAAACTGAGGGACGAGACAAAGGGCATTAACATTCAATGCCTTGAGATCCTTAACCCTTTGTACTGCACTGGAAGATTTGATTAACTGTCCTAACCGACAGGCTAATTATAGCTGGAGTTTTCAGGACATTTATAAAGGTAAGACAAGTTTTTAAATCTTTTTGTAAACCTGTTCTATGTGACTAGGAACATGTAACAAATCTAATGTAGGTGTTATCCCAATGTGGCAATACACTTTAAATGTTCACAACACTACTTCTGACCACTAGAGGGGGTACATTTGTGACATATACTGCACTCATTAGATTTATAGCCTCTTTTGAGACATAACACACTGCAGATTTGCTGTATTGTTTTTATGCACCATAATTCCACACACAGATCTATTTATGGCAATATACTATCAATGGATAACTTAATAGATCACAAATACAGGGTATGCGGTCTTAGGGCTGAAAAATGGCCATCACTGACTGATTCTACCTCTCTGAGAAACTGGGTCATCCTAAAGTGGAAGTAGCACAGGAATTAGTTTGTGCGAAGGATTATTCGATAGAAACCCTACTTAAAGCATAATTTTAAATTACATAAAATAATCATGGCAAGACGCAGAGCATTCTTAAGACAGAAGTCATTTACTTGGCATTACTTCCATCACAGATCTAAAACGCAAGACTCATTTGTGGTTACACTTTTAAAAAAAATTAATCCAGCAGTTAAAAGCTTCCATTCCACCACCATATGACATAGGGGTCTATTCACAAAAGGGTGAAGAGTTGGGAGAAGGCAGGAGAAGTGAACAATCTAGGCCAAAATAGCTGAACTGGAGAATTTTTCCAAATCAGCTATGTTGTCCTATAATTGTTCCCTTCTCCCAACTCTTCACCCTTTTGTGAATAGACCCCACAGTCTTGCTTTGACCTATACACTGATGCTGACATGGAGTCACTAATTTAACGTATATGTAACATTGCCTCTGAGGCTGGCTGTGTCTGCAAAGGTGATTGGATGGATGGATGGACAAGAAACTGATAAACAGATGAATGGTCATACAGTATGGTGGTGTCCAGAATTCGAAGGTTTCCCGAGTCTACTAGAGCCCTGGTTCCCAACTAATGGGTCGCAACGCCTTTTTCGGTGCGTCCCAACAATTAAGTTAAAGTCCCGACCCGCACAGTGCAGCAGATCTGAATCCCCCCCGGTGGGGTGGATTGATATCAAATAGGCTGGACAGTTGTATGTCTGTGCCCGAGACAGCTGGGCTGAGCATGGTGTGCAGTTGCTTTGTAAAGGCACTGCTACATAACCGGTATGGAACCCAAAAATAAAGCTAGGGGCGGGGGTGCTGAGACCTTTCCAATAACCTTGAGGACTAAATAGTAAATTACATAAGATAAAAGTGTACAGTCACTGTATGGATTTCTTTTTTTACATGCGTGCATTTTTTTTTTGCTACATGTGTTTACCAGTTAATCACTTATGCTAGTCCTATGGTCTACATCCATGGTTCTCAACTGGTGGGTCGCGACCCAAAAGTTGGTTGCAACACCGTGTTTATTGGGTTGCCGCATGCTTCCACTGCACTAGGTGAGAGCCTCCCCTTAGTGCAGCACTGTCAGTTGTCGCAACAAGCAGCCATTCAAAATATGCTGCCTGGCAGCGAGTGTCAGCTTGAGGTGGGGTGGAGGTATGGCCACAAAGGAGCTCCATCCATATGTGAATTGCTTACAGCTCCCTCGTATGCCCCGTAGAGGTGCCTGGACTGGAGTGATGTCATATTCTGGCTACCCACACCTACAGGGAATGCGAGGGAGCTGTACAAGCAATGCAGATATAGATGGCACTCAGTCAAAGCACAGCAGGCCACACTGGACCCCAGGCTGAGGATTCACTCCAGTTCTCGTAAGGTAGGGAGACTGGGTGCATTAAAAAAAAAAAAATTTGAGTGTGTGGGAGATTGTGTCTGTGGTTGTGTGTGTGTGTGTGTCGGTGTTTTTGAGGGTCCAGTCACACTAGTACAGTGTGTTAATCGCACAGTCCCGTGCAATTAAAGCACTGACCCGCGTAATCGCACCTACCGCACGTTCAGGTGTAGTAGGTGTGTTGCATTACCATATGAATGGCACCCCAAATGCATCTCCCTCCCACAGTACAATCGCCCGCACCGGCACACGCGTTACTGCAATGCCGTGGATTCGAGTGCGGTGCGATTTGGGCCGTGCTCTCCACAAAAATGATTTGTGTGGACCATGAACCATGGAGATACAAGTTATTAGTTTTAGGGGGCAAACACTTTTTCACACAGGGGCATGTGGGTTTGGATTTTATTTTCCCTTAATAAAACCTTCCTTTAAAAACTGAATGTTGTGTTTACTTGTGTTTTATCTTTTGACTAATATTTAAATTTGTTTGATGATCTGAAACATTAAAGTGTGACAAACGTCCAAAACAATGACAAATCAGGAAAGGGGCTAACACTTTTTCACACAACTGTATGTGTAATGATTAAAGGCAGAAGGCACTGGCTTGTGAAGGTTGTTTTCTTTTACTCAATATTTTGAAGCTATTTAAGAACTTCCAGATATTATGGTATGTTAAACCAGAAACCTGGAATTCATATTCTACTATACTAAAGTATTTATAATCTGTTACCACCTTTCCTGTCCTTTCAGTGGGGGGGTGAAGAAATGTGCAGTGCAGTTCCTGACACCCTTGAAAGTGTGCAAACGC